TGTGTGTGTGTGTGTGTGTGTGTGTGTGTGTGTGGTCTCCTTATTATGGAAGGGAGTTCTAGTTAGTAGTTGAGCTTGAGAGTGGTGTATCTGAGAGAAATACATTCAATTAATACTATCTATTGTTCAATTTTTTCCCCATCACTACTCTTCAAACAAACCTGGCATTCTTTTCATCTGTTTTTTATGAATAGAAACATAAAGAAAAATTGAGAAAATAGTACTGGAACATACTGAAAAGAGAAAAAAAAACCCAGAATGCTAGAGGTAGTCATAAAAGAATAGTTACACATACAGGCTATCACTAGAAGTATGGCATGTAGCCTATGCCTGTTTTTATTTTTATGCCTATTTTTATATGTGAATAATTAAAGAATTCCCTCTTTGAATGAAAAATGGGGTAATTATTTCATTCAAATAAAAAGCAACTATGCTATATGCTTTATAATCATTTAGTACTAATTGGAGAAGAACTAAGAGAACTACTACATTTAGGTGATGATTTAAAGGAATTTATCTAATTCTTTAGTGTAAATCAATAAGAAAACAGAATATCTTTAGCAGAGGTTGATTTACATCAATGTATTAGGTATATTCTTAGCTTCACAGAAGCCATAAAAACATAGACATTCAGTTGTAATTAAAATCACTGGCTCTAGACTCTGATAGATACTGGTTGGCAGTATCTGTCCACATGGCTTTTGGTTAACTCATTTGTACCTGTGTCTATGTCTAATTTGCAAAGTTTGAGTGATAAAAATAATGACGATGGATTTTAAAGAATTAAATTTGAGCTTCTATTTGATTTATGCCTGTTAAGCTTCTAGGATGATGTTGTTCTAAAATATTATCCTGAAAAACATAGTCCCAAGATTTCTTCTAACTAGAAGATACTAAGGTATCAACTCAGTGTCTAATTCATAGTGAGTGTGCAGACCCTGGTGCCGTGGCAAGTGGCAGAAGGCCCTACGAGCTTCGACAGCCACTCGTGTACTGAGGCTCTGAAACGCTCAGCAGATCACACCCTTCTCATTAGTCCACTGATAGATCTTAGAGCGCTGACCCCAGTGGTTAGAACTGCTGAAATGGACTGTCTCCTAGTAACTTGCGATCAGCTGAGGAGATGGGTAATGTTGACCTCTTCTGCTATGTGACCTGTCTCGGAAACAGGATAATGAAGAGGTCTGACTTGTTGGTTAATGAATGACAAGACACAATAAGGCAAAGTACAAATAAGGAGCATAATAAAAGATTAATAGAAGGAAATGGAGATAAAGCCTTTGCAAATAAATGAGAAGAGACCCAAGACCCCGAGGGCAAGGGGTGGCACAGAGGTAAAGGGGAATTAAAGAGATTTAAGATGTGTCATACACGTGGAGCAACTACCCACAATAAATTTAAGCAGTATATGTCAGAAACATGAGTTTAAAAATAATAACAATAATAATAATAAAAATGGGGAAAGGAGATGGAGAGATGGAGGACAGGAGGAGTGAGAGAAGGGGAATAAAAGGAATCAAGTTGTAGTATTCCCTAAGATGAATGAAAACTTCGTGTACTGCAAACATGTATGAATACAGGGGTTTTTTTTAAATATAGTTTTTAAAATGTAGAAAATCCTAAAACCAAACCACTGCTAAAGACTGAATTCTAAGTTGGGACAAAAGCCAAGTTCAAAATCAGCAGCTACAGGGCCCTTGTTAAAGTTCCACGTCTCTGAGTATCACTCCTGTGACGTAAAATGAGAATGATGACATGTAGGGAGTGGCTTGCTGGATTGTAGTGAAAGTTAAAGAAGATAATGTGGAAAAGCAGATGGCAGAACACTCTGAACAGTCAATCCTTGTCCTTTTAGGACTACTTCAATAATATTCCCAGATTTTCTATTTATGGATGGCATTTTTTGACTAGAGATAGAATTAAGGTAGTATTTAGGAACAGCATATAACAACAATTCAACAACCAGTAACAAAATGAAAATACCAATCAATAATTCACTTTTGTTGATTCTACACTGTGGAGATTTATTGCTTTTGAAAGCTATTGCTTTAGCTTTTTCTTTTGCATAAATTATTTAATCTATGACTAAATCTCTATAAGCTTATTCATCCACTGATAGCTCTCAGTTGAAGGATCTAAAATTAAAAGTAAATTGGTTAGTACCCATGTCAAAGAAAGCTTTGTTTTAATTTTAAGCCCTCCAAAGGTTGATATACTACTCCGAAAAATGCCCTACTTTCATTGTAAGCAAGGCTTAAAGCAGTATTCTTCAAGCATAATTAGCAGTTAATTGAATGTTTAAATATGCATTTAAATGTCTAGAAATGAATTTATGTTATTGTAGTAGGAAAAATTCCTCCCTTCAATTGATTGTGCCCAAGTGAGTTGATTAGAAGGAAAGAAAGGAGGGCCTCACTTATAATGTAATAGGATGTAGAAGCCTGGCCGTACGCACGCCTAATGTTCTTTTGCTTACACCATCTTGGAAAAAAATCATTGACCATGTTTCTTAGCAGCAATCCTCTTTCTAGTTAATGAATCATGTATTCAAAGCATCACTTTCTTATTTGTGTCATCTTTTTCAGCATCTATATTCATTTTCTGCAAAAATTACACATCATAGCATAGTGTATTTATATATGAAAGAGCAGCACAGACGACAAAGTAGTAAGGCCTAAGTTTAGCTTGACTAGTTTAATTTTTCATTTTCTCTTCTATAAGGAAGGGCCTATACTGAGAATAGAAATACTGAAATATGGGTGATGTTCAAGTAGAAGCCAGACTATTTCAAGATAAGAATGAGGTCTAGGAGACCCACGGGAGCTGGGCAGCTGGAAAGGGAAGGTCATCACCATATTTGATGGAGAAACAGGATTTCAAAGTAGTTTGGGGCAGAGATTCAGATAAGTTTGAAATTGTCTCATTGCTATTTGTTTCTCAATAAAATTATGGGGGAAAAAAAGAGATTCAGGTAAGAGCCCTTGCGCCTGTGACTTGATTTTGTCACATGCATGGCTGCTAGTATCACACTGCTGCCATTGCTCAAGGCCAGAGATGCTGCGCCTTGGTGTGCTGCAGCTGCAAGAAATGCCCCCAAGCCATGATGAAGGGGCCAATCCCTTCCCTGGCTTGGTAGATGAAGGGGGTTTTGCAGAATCGAAAAGAACTTTGTGTTGCTTCACATGAATTGCGAGAAAAATAACAGTCTTCTGAGAAAAGCTGGAGAGCACAGCACTTACAATTTATGTGGCCCTATGTTACTTTAATGAGTGGGTCTTGTTAGAGAATAACATCAGCTAGGTTCTCCTCCACTAAAGGGACTGTGCATTTTAGGATGGTGGGCATTGCCCTGGCTATTGAGTCAGTCAATGAGGAGACTCATGCTACCCCATTGACAGGGTACCAGACACTGCTTCAAGTACTTGCTTGATGAGTTTTTACCCAGTTAGTTCTTTGAACAAGCCTGTTACAATTCTCACTTAATAGATCACAGAATCACAAGAGGTTTATACAACTCATCCAGGTCATAGTTAAGCAGCAAGTCTGGGACCTGGAGCACAGGGCCTCGGTCTGGAGCTACTCTTTACTACCAAGTAACACTTGTAGCTGGCAAAGACAAAGTGCTCCCTACTGTTGCTTTGACTACTTTCTCCCAAAAGATTACAAGTATATTAAGGTTATTATTCTGTATTTAATCGACTGACTACTTTTTAAAGCAAACTAAGAAAATATTTACACGTGTGAAAATCTGAAATGATCAGAACATGTTGCAATGATAAGATTTTCCAGCTAACCAAGGAAAACTACTTTATGCTTTCAAAGTCTTCTTACCCACAAGGAAACAAAATTTCTAGAAAGTTCTATAACCCACAACAATCCACAGAGCTAACTAGAAACTTCGGCCTTTCTGGGTCCTGAGACTCCAAATTGTTCCTCTAGCTCTTTGCCCCAGGGTTACACAGCTTTCTGTTCTCTAGAAAAGGGATTGTGCCAAATGGTGAGGGTTCCTGGGGGTTAATAATTTGAATAACAAGATCTTGAGGGTCATGCTTCATTGGCTCTCCCTTTCATTTAGTTTATAGGCAGAAAACAATTCTAATTAACTATTATGTTTAATTATTCTGCGTAGTCATCCTGATAATAGACCAACATTAACCATTAAAAAGGAGGAAAGTAGACAAAACACAATGTGTAACCATCCTGACTTTAAATGACAAGACTCAGCATTCATTCAGGGCTGAGCCAGGCAATTAAGTAAACAACACCGGAAAGGACCATTAAAACAGGCCAGGAAATCCACCAGTCTGTCCTCCAAGCTCACTTACCTTTGAGTGGATGATGAGAGGAAGTGGCAGAAAACCCAGCACAGTGATAGCTATAAGGAGAAGCCGGCGATAAATAAAGATATTACTGAGGAGTTTCATGGTCTCAGGCAGGTGGCTTCAGTGGTGCTCTCCTCAAAATAAGGCAGATGTTAAATAACCAGCCCGGTTTAATATTTTTCCAACACATCATCTTCACTCGCTGCCCTACACAGACCGATATTAGTTAAAATTAAATCTCATTTTTATTGCTTTACTATCACAATTAAAACACAGAGATAAGCCCAAGTGTTTACGAGCAATCAAAGACCATTTGCTCATGTAGTTTTTGAAAAGCAAAGTTGTTCTTTTCTTTCTTATTTTGTAGTATTTAAATGCATGACAGACAGGAAAATTCCCTAACTTCCTGTAACAAGAATCATCTATCACCCCAGCTGTGGTGGTGCCTCGCACGTGTCTTCAAACATGGTCACCAGCATCTGTCCAGGAAAGTGTACTGGCAGTGTCCAAACTTAAATAGCAACTTCTGTAGTAAGGACTTCAGAGGATGGCCCTGGGAAAAAGAAACTATTTTCAGTGCTGATGGGTTTTCCTGGGTCTTTTCCAACCATGTATTGAGGGAGCCTTTTTTATAACTTAATGGCAAAATTTTTCCTGTGTGTTTCAAGCAAAGTTCTACGTATCTCCTAGACCCTATTGCCTATTTTGATAGGAAACCAAAGGTAACCATAAAGTATTATATCAGCTCTCTCCTTTAGGACAAATTTTGCAAGCATGAATTGCTACTATTGTGCTGATATTGATTATATAATTATCAAGGAATCTGCACAGAAGTGAGTCACTAGAGCCTTTCATGTGTGGGGCCATGGGCATGTGTGAAGTCGGGAACTTTTCCAACAGTGATACGTAGGATGTATTATGAAATTCCTTGGGCTAGGAATTCTCTGGTTTGTTTCTTGTGCTATCTAGTAATGACCCAACGTATCTCATGCAAGATGCATGCACTCTGCCCTAAATAAAAAAAAAACCATACTCTCAAACTTTCTATGACTTGGAGTAAGTTCCTCCTGCCACAAGTAACCTCATTTTCATGCTATCTGTGCTAAGAGCTTATTTCCAATTCTGTACCAGTGAAACTCTGCTTTTCTTTCCTATAAAGGAAAAAAATGCCAACCCTCACTATATTAATGTAAATGGGACAGTTTTTTTTCTCAAAAAAAATAAATTTCTAGTCAAATTACATGTAGTGTTTCAGGAAAATCAAGGTTGCAATAAGAAAAAAAAGATCTAACAGACACATTATATCCTAATTTTCTCCAGATTTAAAAAAAGGCAAATAGTACATAACTAATAACAGAAATAAACAGTGACAATAATAAATAGATAGAAAGAATAAATAGTGTTTTAAAGTACATTAAAGGAACTGCTGAAGTTGCTAAAATAATTGCAGCACTATTAACACGCTACACGATCCATCACGTGTATTTCCCCCCCTATTTTTTGAAGAAACCATTTCTGTTGCAGATTTCTCTCTGGAGAAATCATCTGAACTTCGCTTTCTGATCTGAGAGAATCTTACTTTGTGAGATGACACCGAAACTAAAAAGGCATTTGTGTGACATTTAGCAAACCTGAGGGGGCACACATGTGTGCGGGGAACAGTGGCCCATGAGCCAGCTGGAAGCTGAGGGAAACATGCCTGGCGCTCATCAGCACCTCTCTTCCATGCCCAGTTGCTTCTCTCTGGTGCCCATGTCTGCTCAGAAAAAGGCGCCCAGGGCCCCAATATTGTTGCTGAGGCTAACACACAGCCAGTATTCCCTGACTGTTCATAATTGCATAGGACTCCTCCACTATCCTCATCGCCATTGATTTTCTCTGTCACTGTTCAGAGAGAAAAGATCTCATAATATAACTCACATTAACCATGAATAATTAATGTGAGATTAATATCTTTACAAGTCACCAGGGAATGACGCTCTCCGGGGCTTTCTGGATTCTCTGGAGCATATCTTAAGGCATCTTTCAAATCGCCTCACGTTGTACAATTCCATGTTGAGGACAAATTAGTCACCACTGTCAGATTTGTCCTCTTAGTACAGAGGAACAAATCTCTTTTTAATACATTGCCATTATTCTCTGTTTTATCTAAATTGAACTATACCATGGTATGATCATAGATTAGTCCACTGAAAAAAGGTTCTATAAACATTTTTAAATAACAAATATTGGTTTAATTGCTGTCCACTATGTATAGGAAGTTTATATTCATCAGCTCATTTAATCTTCAAAATCCAGTACAAGTCGCATATATTTACACTGTTATCATTAATCACATCTTTAATTTAGGAACTAAAATTCAAAAATGCAAAGTAAAATATTCTAGTTACTAAGTGGTATGACAATATTATATTACGGTTTGTGTATTTTTTTTCCTGGCTTTTAGGGCAATTTTTTGTACTATGTCACATGTCTATAATCATACCTAGTCATGCCACTAAACACTACTCCTCAAGTCTAAAATTTGTACAAAGGCACCTACTCCCTGGATTTTGTCCCTGACCATTATGAACAGACAAAAACAATGTGAAAATCAGTTTCAAGCAGAGAGGAAGAGAAGGTTTCCTTACCTATATTAAAGATAAACAGTTGTCCAAGATGCTTGACAACCAGCGTGAGGGAAATCGAAAGCAGTTTCTAGGGCCCCAACCCACGCTCTTCTCTAGGGGCCTCCCACGTCATCCTCACTCTCAGGTTCATGTTTTCCTGCAAGTCTTTCCTTCTTCCAAGAATAAGGTCTCCTTTCTCATTAAGTCCCAGCTGTCCCTTAAGTTTGATCTTAGAGAATCATCTCAAATCTACTGCTCTCTTTAAATGGATCCTGGCCATTCTAGTTTCTCCCCAAGCCCCTCACCGCGGACTGCTCACACAGCCCAGCCAGCGGGTTCCCTGCGCCAGCCACATCTGAGCAACTTCAAATACCCTGCCCTAGTGGACCAAAAGCAGGTGGAGGAGCTTTCCTGTTCTGTTGGGTACTTACGTAAATTTTATGTGCTCTAAACGCTAAGAATCATTGACGTAGTATCTGTAAGATATATTTTTGCCTGGAAGTAGAACCACTATTTTACTTTTTAAATAATTCATGTAAATGTTAAATCTTTGAGAAAATTATCGCACTTTTGTGTAAAGGGACAATTCATTGTGCCTAGCAAAGTTCTGGGTATAAATAAATGCTTAGTGGATAGCTTCTCTAAACTCACCCACGACTAAGTACAAAAGGCAGCCGATCAGCCTTATTGCTTATGTCGTATGATCCACGAGATGTGCTCATTCAGTGTTTAGTTTTGTACAGATATATTACAATGACAAACTGTAACACCCCGAATTTGGAGGCAGATTTATTTATTTAACATGGGTTGGGCACTGACTAGGAATCAACTGTTCCTCCAAATGTCAGGCCCCAAAGGATCAGGGAGGGAAGCTTTTATGCGATTTGCAAGTAGAAGTACAAAGGCAGGCTACTTGTCTGTCTTTAATTGGGTCTTACAATATGCACTGCGGTGACCAGCTGAGCGTGCAGTGGCCAGCCTTTTCGAGGGGACAGAAGCAACCAGAGCTGCAGCAGGAAAAATCACTTAGCCAACTGACATATACTAGCAGTGTGGTGGTGGGTGATGGCAGTTTCTGCTACAATATGATTTTTCAGTGGGGAATGTTAGCTCCAGTTCAAATATCCCTCATCCACACTTGCATAGAGATTGTGTAGACTTTGCACATACTTTTACTGGACGAAAAAACAACAAAAGGCAAAACACTTTTACTGTTGATAAAAATAGCCAGGTGCATTTCCACATGGATAAAACAATGCATTTACTTCAGTTATATAGTTCTATTTTCCCTTTCAGAACATTTACAGCTCAGAGTTATGCTAGAGTTATGCTATTGTGAATTGCTTTTGTTGAGACCATTGGTCAAGAAATGTGTCAAGGTTTCTCCTGACACTCATTTGTTCTCAACCCTTATTAATTCCTAATTCTGCAACTTCACTAACGATTAACTCTTATTTCTATATTCTAGATACTTTCATAAATCCCCAGATTTCCAGGCACTGCATGGTGAAAGAGTACCTTATTGTGAACTGAATCTTTTAAATATTTTCAGACACCATTAAAACTAGGAGGATTTTCTCTCCTCTGACCAGCACCCAGCAGCCACATCCTTGGTACTCTGTGGTGTTTTCAGTTTCCTCATGCTCATTATCGTACTCTCTGAGATGATGAAACCTCCTGACACAACCAAAATGTACCGGTAATTTATAATATGAAACTTCCAGGTCCAAATCAATTAACTAGGTCAGTTTTCATTTTCATGTCTTAAATTAGGATAAAATAATTATTTAGTTAGTTATTTTGATATGGGATCTTGCTACACAGTTCAGACTCCTAGTGATCCTCCTGTCTCAGCCTCCCCAGTGCTGAGATTACAGGCACATGCCACTACATGTAGTTTCAGTGGTGGGCACAGGGCACCCAGGGTTCTGAGGCCGGCAGGGCATGCTGCACTGGGGATCGAACTTGGGTCCTTGAGCTTGCCAGGAAGGTGCTTAGATGGACAAACTATCTCCTCAGCCCTAAAATAATTATTTAGGGCAGGACTATGTAATCTAAAACTGTAGATTAATACATGAGTCCTTAAATAGTCATCTTTTAAGGGCTGGCGAGATAGCTCAGCAGACTAAACGCCTATACGCCTGCTTAGAAAGGGGAAGGAACCAGGGTTTGATCCCCAGTACCTCATGCCATGCCAGCCCCACCCTCGGGTGCTGAGCCAGCAAACGAGTCCAGGCATGGTGGAGCACAACTGTAATCCCAGCGCTGGGGAAGATGAAAACAGGAGGATCACTACGAGTCTGAGCTGCATAATGGGACCCTGTGCCAAATACATAATTTTTTTAAAAAAAATTAAAAAATAAGCATCATTTATTAACCATTGCTTCACTAATCATTTCTCCAGGGTCATGAAGTAAATCACTGACTGAATAAAGATTGAACTGTGTCCTGTAAACTGAGAAGTGGAGCAAATTCCAAAAAAAGAAGCTGAATTCTAGTAAAAACGGCAACTGGTGGCAAATCTGACAGGCA